TTGTTAACTTGGTTGCTAATAATGTCTTTGCTGCTATTCCATCTTTTTCTAAAAAGGTGGTTATGCACTTTAACATATTGAATTAATAGAATTTCCTAACTATTGTTAGTCAAATATCTTAAATAATGCATTTGACAATTAACTGTGATTAATATTTTACTTTCTTTTATTTATGTCATGTTTTTAAAAAAGCAAATAGTAAAGAATATAAATAGGTCACATGTAAAGAGCTAGAATACTATAATACCAGTGTTTTTTTCAAGGATGCCTTTCGGGAGAAGGTCAAAAGTCAAGGTTGGGTCTACATTCATGTGATCAAAACCTGCCTCTTTTTAACATGCATCAAGATGCATGAAAAAACAGTGGAGCTTTGATTGCATGTTGGCTTTTTTGATCCCTTTCCCTGCAGACATCCCTGGTTCCATCAACAACTTTCAGGGCTGCCCCATGAATGAGCCCAATGTGAATTTCCTTGATATAAGAAGAGTTTAAATGCAATAATTCAATCTATAGGAGAGTGACATATTTTAAACTCTTTTCTTCAGCACCAGCAATGGACATCTTTGTGCTACATATCATGTTTTATTGCCACAGAGAGCATAATATTAAGTAATATAGTAAGAATTAGTTACATTGCAAGGTAAATGTAATTAAAAGAGGCTTTGGATAGATGATGTCAGAGAATGTAAGATGTAGATGTTATCAGGAGGCATCCCTTTTTATAATTTATGGAAATTATCCATGTGCAAAGAAGCAGTGAGTTTCCTGTAGTGAATTGCAAGTTGCAGTTTGCTGCAAAATAAATGTTTAAATATAGAGAATAATTGGTAAAAATTACTGTGACTCTCATATACTTGCTATTATTTTTGTGCCATTACAATATAGCCAGTAGAAGATCTTCTACATATTTTTTAGAGTAGGTGTATGCAGAGTGGTCAATATTCAACCTCCAAGGGTCAATGGGACTATCTACTATTATTATTATTCATCACAGTCAGCCAGATGCTCAGTCTGGGTTTGGCATTTTTGTTTACCTATCAAGTCCTTACCAAGGACCTGGGATAGACAAATCTGGATGTTTGATGGTGTTACAGATATTGTCGCAGGATGGAAGCAGTTCCAAGTAAAGCTGCCTTCTGCAATTGACTGATGACAAATTTGTCAATGCCTATGGTGTTCAAGTGGTGCTCCAGTTGTTTTGGGACTGCACCCAAGGCACCTATTACTATTGGTACTCTCCTTTCTTCTTCTTCTTCTTCTTCTTCTTCTTCTTCTTCTTCTTCTTCTTCTTCTTCTTCTTCTTCTTCTTCTTCTTCTTCTTCTTCTTCTT